AAGATATGACTAGGTTGTAATCTGTACTGGTAGAAGCAGTGCCGTTATCCTGCATAACGGCACCATCGATTTGTCAAAGTACATTTTTATTAACATCCTTCGCATGGTTGTAATACAGTAATACCCCACTTTGTAGATGAAGAAAATGAATTCTTAGTGTTTAAATGATTTTCCCGTGGTCCTGCAGCTGACTCCAAGTCCAATGGCTTTTCTACTAAACCAGTATTCCCTTGAGAAACAAGGGTATCTTGTATGCTGAGATGAAGTTGTGGAGTAAGACTTGAGTGGAAGATAGCATGCTTGCTTAGTTTATTTGTACTTACAACAGCATTCATTTTATTATTATTGTGGCACACTGTAGATAGCCTCTTTCTGTTAACCACCTCTCTCACCTCCCCCTACCTGCAAAACAAAACAAAACCCCCAAACCTCTTTGTTGACCGTTAACAGTTAATTATTGTGTGCCTCAACCATTTTCCCCTGTCATGCTCTCCTTTCTTGTGAACCAAGGCCTGAACTACTACTTGGGAAATTAGATTTAGATTAATTAGGGAAACATAAGTGTGAAGATAATTATGTATGCATATTGTCTTTTTGTATGTATACATACTTATGTACAATCCTTTTGACATTTTTTCCCCCACTGAATTAGATTTAAGGCTTAGTAGGCACTTGAGTGTAAAAGGTGGATATTGAGGAAGGTCCTTTGAGAGACAGCTACAAGTTACTGATAATTTCTCATCTTTTGTACTTCTAATATCATTAAACATTAAGTATCATAAAGTGGACAAAACCTGCTAGTACAAAAGCTCCTATTAGTGTATTCTCATGTAGAGGATATTTTTCTTTGAAATTTTATCTCATTGGTATAGCAGAGAATTTTTCCATGTTCTTTTCTTTTTACTTTTTAGCTCTAGCTCCAGTACAAAATGATCTTATGAAAGCTTGTCATTTAAAATTTTAGTTGCCTTCTTTGTTGGGATGACTGCAAATAGTTGTTAATTGAGGAATTCACTTCTGAACGTTTCTGTAAAATTTTACTTAATGTCATCTGTGTGTTATTTTGTCAGATTACTATTTTTAATTAATTTGATTTTCTTATATATTTTCAGAGTTTAACATTATGGTATGTTGATTATTCAGATTATTATAATTTTTAAAAAATTATCTCTAGGATCCAGGACCACCTCCACCTTCTCCATTACTAGGCTTGAAGCCCTTACAGTTATTAGAAATAAAAGCAAGGGGAAGATTTGGTTGTGTCTGGAAAGCTCAGTTACTCAATGAGTATGTGGCTGTCAAGATATTTCCAATACAGGTATGTAAATTTTTCTTTTTCGGTCCTACATATGTTATTTTTAAATACATTTGATTGCAAGATAGCTTGTGCAACTCAGAAATGGTCTGGAAACAGAAGAGCCTTAACTTACAAAGTGGTTCTGCCCCGAGTTGTCTGAAGGCATTTGTTGAGCATTCTTTTTTTTCTGTTTCCTTATCTAGAAAATGAAACTAGCAGCACCAGCCTTCCTCTGTTCTTTATAGTGAGAAGAAACTTACAAAGATTTTTTTTTTTTAGTTTTCAGCTAATAAAAAGTGCTAAGTGAAAGTGATGCCCCCAATATATCTTGTTGTCTTGGTAATTAGATTTCTCTTCCAATGAGATGTGTAATTATAGTCCAGAAAAGCAAACAATTTAGAGAAGAGAGTAGGTTGGCTTTCAGGGAAATAGCCATTTTGAATTTAAATGTCAGGCTAAAATTTAATTCAACAAATCATTTTAAAAATGTCTACTCTATGCATGGATGCCTGCTACAAGGAATGCCAAGAGGAATAAGATCCCTCTACTGTCTATTCCCTTTGGTACTTTAACCAAGAAGCAGAAAAGGTGCAGAACCAAGGTGCAGAAAAACAATCCTTACACAGTCATTCAGCCTTAGATTCTTTTGTTAGTGATAGAATATGGTAACTATAACACTGTCCCACAGCCTCTAATAATTTGCTTACCACTTTACAAACTGCTCCTGGATTTCATGTATTATGCTGAAACTCATGACTTACCACTACTGGAATCTTCCCTTTGTAATCTCTTTCAAGCAGTGATTGATCTCAAATAGTCAATTCAGAAGTAATTTCTTGAGTGCGATTCAGTGTGATTTGCTCAATTTTATCAGTGACTGAGGGCATACTGTGACAGTTCACTGAACTTAGTGATGCTGTCTTGGGCATAGGAGAGAATGAACGCTAATTCTCAAGTACAGGGAGGAAACCTGGGACTGCATTATCTATCACTCTTTCTGGTTCAGCTGAGATAGCGGACGTCAAGTTTGCCACTTATGTTGATAACCATAATTTGGGATGGGATATATTTTTTTTTCAGTATCTTTGTTTTAATACAGAGTATCCCAAAGGTCTTAGTATTTAACATTTTAAAGCTTACTAAGTTGTTAAAACTTAAAACTGCACTTAAGACCTTTGGGAAACTTTGTATTTCTCTTCTTTGGTCTTATTTATCCACTTCATCTCAAATTCTGTGATAAGTAATATATGAAGAAACATATCACATTTTTCTAATATTAAAGGTCATAGCACTCACAGTTTGGACCAAGAAGGCTGAAACCTGATCTTGTCTTAACCACATCATAAATATGTATGATCATGAGAAATATTAGTATTTGCTTGTGGGTAGTTAAGTAGCTTAAATTCACAGGTTTCAGCAATGACAGTGATCCCTTAAATGACCAACTTAAGAAATGCTATAGCTAGTAATTCTATCCTCTTAGAGATAATACAGATTAACATTTCTTAGGGATTATTTTCATAATGAACTGGAGGAACTCTATTTTTGATGCTTACTGAAATGCTGCCACCTGTCTGTTTTAATTTTGATGGTTCAGGTAATTATCAAAACTTCACTACGAAGGAATGTAGTTTGTAAGTCTTTGGAAAGAAAAAAAATAATGATTTTCTGTAAAACTGTATTCCAATTGGATCTTTTCTACTTCACAGAATTTTTGTGAATCTAAGGCTCTGTAAACCATAAAGCTCCATACGAGTTATTGTTCTTTAAGAAAGGTTATTAAGAATTAGGAATGATAAGTCCTAGCCCTCATGCTGGTAGGTGATAGATAGACCTTCCAATACCACATGGAAATAACCCAAACTATAGTATTTTTTGGGTTTGGATTGATACACATCTATTAATATGATAATGCTCATTTCCAGAGTGTCTTAATACATACAAATCTGCATTAGAAGTTAGCTAGTAATATCTCGCTTTAACTTCAAATCAAAAAACATGTATTAAACACTTATTAGGCATCAGGTACTATGTAAGGGACCAGGAATACAAAGTCAAAAATGAAATATCCCTGTTTTGAAGGAACTTATATTATGTACTACACTCCTCTTTCCTCCTCTGTGAGTATCAAACATAAGCTTTTTACCAATGCATAATTGCAGCCTTCAAGCATTTCTGAACACTTATAAATTGTGTATATTAATTATAGCATTTGGAGATATCTATTTTGCAGGTATTCGGAGTGCAATAATCCTACCTTTGTCAGAATTTTGGTAATCTTTTTGAAAGAGAAACTTTTTAAGTGCAACTTAATTTATTTTGGAACTTGTCCCAGAATCATTTAGCTTAGCAAACATACACATTTTTACCTTTTGCATTAAATATTTTTTTTTCTTTCAGGACAAACAGTCATGGCAAAATGAATATGAAGTATATAGTCTTCCTGGAATGAAACATGAGAATATATTGCAGTTTATTGGTGCAGAAAAACGAGGCACCAGTGTTGATGTTGATCTTTGGCTAATCACTGCATTTCATGAAAAGGTAAATATTTCCAGTGATTCATTTTTATATCCACAAGGAGAAATATCTTTGTCTCAACAGCTACCCATTTCCAATGAATATATTTTAGGTTGTACTCCGTCTGTGAAATAGACTATAAAAATTTCTTTGGAGCTTAGGCAGTAGACAGCTTTTAAGGAGCCATAAGACCACTAGTTCTGTGGACATTCTGAAAATGGAAATATGGAAGGTGATTTCCTAAAATTCATTTGAAAAAAGCTAATATTTTCCATAATGTTTTAATAAAACAGTGATGATGATATTAAAATATAGTATCATTAGCAAAAATTAAAAATGCTTAAGTGTTTTGTTGTTTGGAGAATAAGGGAGAGGAAGAAGAAGACTTTTACCTCTGTTTTCTTCTTTCTCATGTTTTCCCATTCTCCTCTCTCTCAGAACATTTCCAAGTGACTGCTTCTGATACGACCATTTGCTCAGTAATTTTCATCTATTATATATGAGTCATTTTGAGTGAATTCTTTTATTCAGTATGACTTCTCTTTGCTACATGTTCTGGTCTGATGACTAGAACATAGACCATAGGAAAACTAGCCTTCTGTTCTCATCTCCATCACTGACTTGCTGTCAGTCAACAAGCGTTATCTGTGTCTGGCACTGTGCGAAGTGCTGGGGATGCAAAGAAAGGCAAAAACAATCCTTGCCTTCATGGAGCTCATAGTCTATTGGGAGAGATAACTTTTTGCAGTTAGTAACAAAGACACTTTGTGGTGTTTTTTTCTCAGCCTTACCATGTATACAATAGGGAAGACATTATTTACTCTTCTACTCATAAAGATGCTGTGATAACTAAAAAAATTATATTAGCAAAATTGCTTACTCTCTACTGGTGAGCTACTACACTCTATGATACTGTTTCCTCCTCTGTAAATGGATTTGCCCTCTTTATTCAAGAATCCTGTAATTCTGTCTAGAAAATATCTATTTTTTAAAAGTTCTTGAATATATTATTACATCATAACATTTCAAAACCAGCAGGGGCATTGGCATTCAAGGTTATCCAGCTCAGATCCCTCTTTTAGAAACGAGGAAACTGAAGTCCAAAAAATTCAAGTAGGTCATCATAAAAGTAATTAACGGCACAGCTAGGACCATAAACTTGGATGTTTCACTGTATGTGCAACATTCTTTCCCTTAAGGAATATTTTTCTGTCTTATCGTTGCAAATAATATTAAGAATTTTTATTTTTCTGTAAGCATCCACTTAAAAAAACACATATAACTGTTTTGTTTATACCCACTCTTAGAAGAAATTGGTAATTTGTGACTATATAAGATGTCAAAAGGTATAGGTTGTCCTTCCACTTGGGCAGATTGTACCTCTTTGATGTCTTACTAAACAGTCTTTTTGAGTTGTAACTGAAAATATTAATCACTTGGTGACAATTCTTCTAGTAACAAGCCTTTCCCAGACTTATCTAGTTGGTGTTCAAATAACAGATATGGGGTCCCCAGACCAGTATTTCAAATCTTTCCAGTTGGGTAAAGTTTGTCTAAGTTGGCACACTGCTAGCCCAGGTTCTGTGATACCTCCATACAGTAGTGAGGCCTCAGAGTAGCACTAAAGTGAATATCCTTGTATGCAACAGTTAGAAATCAGTGTGTCCCCAGATATGAATCTTGGTATCTTAGATTACTGATGGAAGAAGGTAGGTGGAAACTTGAGAGAATTCAAACCATGCTAAAAGGATAACTTTCTAGATGTTGTTTGTTGAAATTATTTACAAGGTGTTCCCCTGTTCCTACTTCTCAAGGGAAAAAGGAAGAGTGTTTTCATTACATCATAGAGAAACAAGAATGAGAGAGAACAGATGGGGATAGGCTGGGGATTATACTAGTATCACAAAATTACACAAAACGGGAAGACTGGGGATGAGGGTAGAGGGAGATTTGCACAAATGGTGGGATTTTCCACATTGATGAGATCATGAATTCATCTCTATATTGGTGTTTCTCTTATAAAAAGTAAATGAAATATTTTTATTTTTTCCCCTTTCAGGGTTCATTAACTGACTTTCTAAAGGCTAATGTGGTCTCTTGGAATGAATTGTGCCACATTGCTGAAACTATGGCCAGAGGATTGGCGTATTTACATGAAGATATACCTGGTTTAAAAGATGGTCACAAACCTGCCATATCACACAGGTAGATAAACCTATGTGTAATTCTTAAGTATTTTAGAACCTTGTAATATATTTAAATTTCACCTTTAGATCAAATGTACTTTTTCCAGATTTTACAAGTGGTATTATAGGAAGCAGTTGATTTATATTTGCTTTTTAAGGTGGTTCTCAATTTTGTTCAAAAGTATCTTGAGTAAGCTATACATTAGTATTGTTAATGAATTTCACTTTCTTATTCTTAACCTTTCTTTCAGAAATTAGATAAATTAACATATATTTGCTTTATCAGAAAAAGAGGGAGAAATGGACATGTTAGCTTAAAAAATATAAATTTGGAATAATGAGCTGCATTTAAGAAAGGAGACTGTAATTACTTCTAATTAATTCCCTGTTAATCTGAATCATGTAAACTTTTCTCTAGTCAAATATCAAGAAAGACACAGATTAAACTAATAATGTCTCTATAGCAAATACTTTTTCAGAAAAGAAAGACCACTTTGACCTGAAAAATATTCCTGTTACATGTGAAACAGTAACTTGCCTTCAAATATGATGTTTAGTTTGGATGATTTTTTTTCTTTTAGAGGCAGACACTTGTCTTATTTACAGTTGTGCCAAGTCAAAATAAAAGTATTTGGAAAGGCCTGAGTTCAGATCCTGCCTTTGATGCTTAAAACCTATGTGATCTTGGGCAAGTTACTTAGCCTCTCTGGGCCTGAGATTGTTCATCTTTATGTTTCTTTTCTTTTCCTTTTCTTTTTCTTTTTCACTAGGCAATGGGGTTAAATGGGTCACACAGCTAGTAAGTGTTATGTGTCTGTGGCCAGACTTGAACTCAGGTCCCCTGAATCCGGGGTCGGTGCTCTATCCACTGCGCCACCTAGCTGCCCAATGCTTGGATTTTTTTTTTTTTTGGAGAGGCAATTGGGGTTAAGTGACTTGTCACATAGCTAGTGAGTGTTATGTGTCTGAGGCCGGATTTGAACTCAGGTCCTTCAGACTCCAGGGCTAGTGCTCTATCCACTGTGCCACCTACCTGCCCCTGAGTTTGTTCATCTTTAAAGTGAAGGGGTTGAACTGGGTGACCTCTGAGGTGTCTTACAGTTTTATATTTATAATCCTATCATATGCTACCATAGACATGTCTTCTGTAGCATTTCATTTCTTCTTAATGTCCCACTGTCCCACTTGATACTCTATCATAGCTCCTCCTTTACTCCATTAAGCTATTCAAGGAGTAAATGTCTAGGGGGCATCACCTGAGAGTATGTTTGTGTCTCTCTCTCTTTTTTCTATCACCTCTCTACATATTTCTGTCTTTTTCACATGTAACTTTTCTCCACATCCTACTTTATGTACTTACATGGATGCGTGTGACTATAGGTACCTTGAGTTGAAAATAGAAGAGACCTTAGAGGTCATTTAGTTCAGCTCCCTCCTTTTAGACTCAGAATAGCTATTTGAGATTGGGGAACCTGAAAGGAATTTGGTGGTCGATGGATCTATTAGAGCTCTGCAAGATCCCTGAGTTGATAAAGCCAGCAGGGGCTTACCTTAGTTTGTGAATAAGATAAAAAAAAAAATTCACAGGCAACTGGAACTTGGAATTAAACACTTAGGGAAAAAGAAGGCAAGAATAACCATGGTAGGGAGTCTCTTGAAAGATTGTAGAGATCCAAAATGAGCTTATTGTAATTATTTCTGTTTTCCCTCTCAGTGGTGATTTTTGGTTGTTTACATGGGTGTGGATTTGAATGTGAATCTGGAACATAGCAACTGTAGAAATATACTTATTGTAATCCAAGAGTTTGGAGAGGGAGAGTGAGAATGGCATAGATAAAATGTACACAGGGCAGTACAAGTGTTTTTTGGACTTAGACTCTTTGATTCTCGTTAGAAAACTGCTTTAAGGAATACTTTCATTTAATTTTTCAGTTTAAGAATAGGAATTTATAATTATTACTTGTTTTCAGGTTAAGCTTTAATTCATCTTTCTGTAAATTTTGAATTTTCTTATTTTACATTTAGTATTTCTATTAGTATATACTCTTGTGGTCAGATAACTTGTTTTAACTTATTTCAAGTAACTTGCCTATCTTTTTATTTTAAAGGGACATCAAAAGCAAAAATGTGTTGTTGAAAAACAATCTTACAGCTTGTATTGCTGACTTTGGTTTGGCATTAAAATTTGAGGCAGGGAAGTCTGCAGGTGATACCCACGGACAGGTGAGAAGAATGACAAAATATTTTAAAAAATAATTACATAAATTGACTGTCCATTGTTTTTGTCATATAAGATGCCTTGGGAACTATGTATCATTTTTTTGTCAGTGACCTTTAAAAGTTGTTATTTTATTAGTCTTTAGAATAATATGAATCTACTTAAAAGGTCATGCAGTGAGCCTTCTCAAGCCATGCCCTTTTTTAATACATGTATAGAGTTGTCACAGTCATTGAATGGTTTAAGCATATCTGCTCATAGAGGAGAATGTATCCCGTATTTAAAACTCAGCAGAGGAAGATACTTTACAACTTATCTTCTTTTAAAAAACAAAAGATAAACCAACAAACAAAAACCCTCCCTTGCTGTTTCAGCAGTTTTCTTGGGATGTCTCAAACCACTAAGAAACAATCATCATTGGTCCTGGTTAATCATTCAGTCAATCAATAAACATTTATTAAGTGCTGACTATATGCCAGGCACTGTGTTAAGGACTAGTTAAGACACAGAGAGGTTGATTAGTAGAAAAAATTACATATACAGTGTGCAAAAGCAAGCAAACCTAATAACCTAGTATTTGATAAACACAAACATCCTAGCTATTGGGGCAGGAACTCACTATTGGACAAATACTGGGGAAACTGGAAAGCAGTTGGGTAGTAACTAGTTCTAGACCAGTATCACCCTGTATACCAAGATAAGTTGCAAATAGGTATGTTAACCTTAGACATTAAGTGACATCATAAACAATTTAGAGGAACCAGGAAATTAACCTATCAAATCAATGGATAGGGGAGAATTCATAACCAAACAAGAGACAGAGAAGGTCACAGAAAGTAAAATGGATATTTTTGATTGTATAAAATAAGAAAAGGTTTTGCACAAACAAAACCAAAGCAAATAAAATTGGAAGAGAAGCAGTAAATGGGGAAAAAAAAACAGACTTTGCAGCAAGTTTCTCTGATACAAGTTTCATTTCTAAGACATAGAGATAACTGATTCACATTTGTAAGAATAAGCCATTCCCAATTGATTAATGGTCAATTAAAGGATATGAACAAGCAGTTTTCAGAGAAAGAATCTAAGCTCTCAATAGGATTATGAAAAAATGCTCTAAATCACTAATAAGAAATGCAAATTAAAACGTCTCTGACATTCCATCTTACACTCCTCAGATTGTCAAAATTGAGAAAAAATGACATACTGGAGGGGCTGTGGGAAAATAGATACATTAATTCATTATTGGTAGAGCTGTGAATTAGTTTAGCCATTTTGGAAAGCCATTTTGAACTAAGCCCTCAAAGAAAGAGGAAAAGGAACCATATTCAGTGGCAAAGAATTGGTCATGGAAGAGGTGCCCATCAGTTGGAGAATGGCTGAACAATATGAATTTGATGAAATACTATTGTGCTGTAAGAAATGGTGAAGGGCATGGTTTCACATATAAAAAGTATAAAGTAACATAGAATGAAATGAGTAGAATCAGGAGACACAACAGTAGTATTGTAAGAATAAACACCTTTGACTTAACAACTCTCTTCAACACAGTGAGCAACCAGAATTCCAGAAGACTTGTGATGAAACAGGCTACCCATCACCTGATAAAGAGGTTGATGGATTCAGAGTAAAATCAAGACTTTTTTTTTTTTTTTTGACATGGCCAAAACAGGAATTTGTGTTTGCAACGGGGTCTTGCTTTTCTTGCTTTCTTATTGGAGAAGGAAGGGAAGCAGGTAGGAAGGGCAGAAGGCAAATGTGCATCTTAAAAAATTTTTTTAAAAGAATGACTAGGGATACTTAAGTCATTAGAGTAGCTCCATTGTTGATCTTCCTCCCTTTTACCCCCTCCCCCTACTAAATAAAATTAGAATGATATGCTTTATAATTTGGGCTTTGGTGTAATGGATCTTTTGGATGGTGAACTAGGTATCTAAAAATATTTCCTTTTATTCAACTTGTTCATACTGCTAAATGCATTATTTGTATATTGCAGCTGCTTTTACGTTTTTGGAAAATAATCATATTTCTCCCAAAGATTTTCCAGTGAAGAACTTGTTACAGGAATTTTTAAGTTAAGGCATTCTATTTCTCTCAGTTTTGTATGGGTAGCAGGCCTTTTCTACCCAATGTCAGGATAAGGAAAGCACCAATAGTTTACATTCATATAATACTTTATGCCTTATAAAGTACTTTACTATGAAAAAAGACAAAAGACATTATTGTTACTTTTATTTTGATTAATGTCTTTTGTTTTTATATCACATTCATTTCCCGCCAGTGACCTTTTTCTTGTAACAAATATTTTAAAAAATTAAAAATACAAAACAAAACGTGCCATGGCTCATCAAAACCTGTTGACATGTTAACTTCTAACAGTATGCTTAGCATTCCTTTCTCGCAGGCCCTTATCATTCTTCAGTGAAGGGAAGGAGTTAAGCTTTTCAGTAGAAGTTTATGTATTGTTCTCACCATTTTGAAGTTGAGAAAACTCAGGCAGAGAAGTTAAATGCTGGTCTATAGTTATATAGAAGATTAAGTATTTGTGCTGAGATTTAAACCTAGGCCCTCCTGACTTCAAACCAGTATTCTTTCAACTTATCCCATACTTTTTTTTTTTCCTAGGAGACTGAGATGATCAGAATTTCATGAAAGGGAATTAACACAGTTTTAGGAATTCTTCACCAATCATGAAGTGTTACCTATTAAAGTTCAAAACCATTAATGAACTAATGCTGTCTGTTTTCAACATCTTTTCCAGGTTGGTACCCGAAGGTATATGGCTCCAGAAGTTTTAGAGGGTGCTATAAACTTTCAAAGAGATGCATTTTTGAGAATAGATATGTATGCCATGGGATTAGTCCTGTGGGAACTTGCCTCCCGGTGCACTGCCGCAGATGGTAAGCAGAAGTTTTGTCTGTCTTTTTTTAAGGAGGTATGTGGACCAACTAACTAAACTTAAATATAATATTCATTTTATTGCTACTTACCAGTTTTAATATTGTTTCCCCTCAGAATCTAAGCTTCTGGAGGTCAAGGACTGTTTGATTTCTGTCTTTGCATCACAGTGTCTGGCACAGTTGGTACTTAATAAATGCTTTTAAATGCTTGTTGAACTTATTCTTGAGCAACAGAATAGGTATTTAAAATTTAAAGTCATTGCTTATTACATGGTCTAGGAAGCCGTGACCCAAAGGCACTGTTTTGTAAGACATTTCCTTTGCAATTCCTCTTGTCACATATAGAGTACTAGGGGTATGTTAACTGCTGCTTTTGGGTCCTATGAGGAATCAGTCAACAAATATTTATTAAGCACCTGCTGTATACCAGACACTGTGTTAGGAGCTGAGGATACAAGTCCAAAGAATGAAATGATCCCTTCTTTCAGTGGGTTTCAATTCTAATAGGAGAGACAATATATGTAATACATACGTATGTGTGTGTGTGTGTGTGTGTGTGTTATGTATGTTTGTGTATGTATTTGTGTATATAGATGTGAGTATATGTACACATGCTTTACATATACATATGAATGTAAATGTGTGTATGTTTATCATAAATATAAAAGGTTTTCTTTTTCTTTTTTTGCTTTTTGGAGCCTGGGTCTCTCTGTCTTGCCCAAGCTGGAAATGTCCACTCAGTGGGCTTGATCCTATTTCTGATTGCCACAGAAACCATAATCTGTTCCATTTGCTACCTGAGCTGGTTCACCCTTTCTTAGGCATCCTGGTGGCCCCCTGCTTCCAGGGACTTGACATAATCACTGTATTGATTCTGGACATGGTGTGGATACCTGATCAACTTAGCACATTGTTGTTTAGAGCTCCTAAGCTCAAGTGATACACCAGCCTCAGCTTTCTTCAGTAGCAGGGATTATAGACATACACCACCATGCCTGAATTATAAACATAAACACAAATAGGTACATACACACACAGAGAGAGTGTATGTCTGTGTGTGTGTGTGTGTGTGTGTGTGTGTGTGTGTGTGTGTGTGTGTGTGTGTGTGTGTGTGAAATATGAGAGGAGGGAAAAATTAAATATGTGGTAGTTTGGGAATGAGGAGCCTAGCAGTTAGGAGATCAGGAATCCAGGCTTCATGCAGAAGATGGTGCCTGAGCTATACCTTACAAGGTTATAAAGTAGAAGTTTAGAAGGTAGCCATTCCAGGTATGGGAGATGACCAGTGCAAAGGTAGGGAGACGAGATAAATATTGAGGAACAGAAAGAAGACAAATTTGGCTGGATTGCATTTGGGATTGCATTTGTTTATTTCAGCTATGGGGTATGAGCTAGAAATCCTTCAATATCTTGAAGGTGCCTAGTTTCTCTAGCTGCCTCCAGGGCAAATCCATATTTGTTTCTCCAAACTAGACATCTCTCTTTTTTCTAAGCATAATTAGTTAAACTGAACATATATTAGATCTCCATTATGCTGAAATCTTTACATATATCCAGATATCTAAAAGGTCACATGAATCTTATCATTAAGAAACGTCTGTAGCAAAAGCCTCCTCAAACCTGACCGGTAAGAGAAATGTTAGTGTTGGTCAAAGGATTCAGACTAGAAGTTATATTGTTCACTTTACTCTTCCTGCCATAAATGGGCCATATGAAGCACTTTCTAAAACTATTTTAATATTTTTTGCACACCCTCATTTTAAATATTTTCCCGATGTTTCAGCAGTGTAAATATATAATTTAAATGGGGTACTCTGATGTTTCCTCATGGAGTGAAAGTGACCCTATGTTCTTGAAGGTCATGCCAGCAGAGCACAGACACTGGCACATTGTACCATTCTGGAAAGGCTTCAGACATGGCCGTGATAACAGACTGCGACTGTTTTCTGAAGACCAGATTAGAGAATATTGGAGAAGCACATCACTGGGAGGTTAGCCACCTGGTGATTAAACTTCTTTTTGGATGTGACAACCTATGAAACAAAGATAAATGAAATGACTCTTATTTTGCTTCTACAGTGACAATGTCAGAATGATTAGAAAGGAGACAGAGGGTTCTAAAAATCACTAGTTTTTGCATGATCAACAAACTTTAATTTGTACTCTTTAATTAAGTATGCTAAATGCAAAATCCTTGTCTCTTGACCAACAAGTAGATAGATTGCTGGAGAAACAGAAACATATCAATCTTGATATTTTTTTCTATAATTGAAAACAGAAGAAAGAAGGAGGTTTCAGTTAAAGGAATGACAACTCATAAGTACGCGTTGGAAACAAAGACAGGAGTTGGTTGAATAAATTTTATAATGGACCCAAAAGTTACAAGACAGTTGGTCAATATGTGTCACAGTACTGATAAAAATAATTATAGCTTAAGTACTAATATGGTTGCTGAGTACTAAGTCGTAGAGAAATTCTATATAACACTCTATAAGACCCATTAAATCGAATTGATATACACATTGACACTTGGTAACTTCAGTACAAAGGTAGGAAAAGTGAGGATGATGTGAAATAAATGGGCATATATGGATCAGGTGAAAGAAACAGAAGGCTGAAGACTTGTATATCAGAGTGAAGACTCATGCTTCTTTATGATAAACAATGAAAAAAAAAAAGAATCAGTAAGCAATGGATGTGGCAAGTACCAGATAATACCACAAAAAATGGAATTGATTACATTTAAACATACAAAAAAAAGATATAATATGGAACCCTAAATCAACTCTTGTGCACAGTCAGACAATTGACTGGTCAGAGATAAGAGGAGAATTTATAAGTAAGTAAGAATAAAGAATAGTAACCAAAAGATGGCATGCAATTAGGAAGATTTAATTTTGTATTATTTAAACAAGCTATTGAAAGTAAAAAAATGAGAAATAAACAACAGAAATTAACATTGACATCAACTATATTAATGTATCCAGAAGTTTGACCATTGTAAATGAATTACAACAATAAGGAAATCAAAAGATCCAGAAAACGCTTTAGTAAACATTAGACTTACTAAAGGGAGAGGAGATGCTTCCCAAAGGTGACACTGGATAAGAATATAAATTTGCCTATAAAATCTCTTGAAGAAGGTGATTATGAACAAGCAATTGAGTATAAAACCAATGTAAAAAAAGCTTGATAAAATATCCAACTAATTAAAGTAATCCCAAGAGAATTGAAGGATGAAAATGGAAAGGGGATTGCAAATAGAAGAAAAATGAAAAGATTTGTAAAAACTATTATAATAAACTCTTTTCTCTATCAGGGATAATGGAATTACCATGCTTGGACCCTAATGTCAGTCTCTGATTATTATAGAAGAAGTAGGAATAGCACTAAAGAGAACCAGTAAGGAGGAATAGCTAAAATGGATTAAGTATGTATAGAAAAGACATGTGCTGGTGGTGATACAAGTATGAGGGCATTGAGGGACCAATTTACAAGCTGTTTAAAGGAGAGGACAATACCAAAAGCATTAAAAAAAATTCTCAAACCTTATTTATAAGGTAACTAAGAGAACAGCTCCTAACCTATGTACTTACTCTGCCATCTCTGTTAGGTCTTTGTGAGAGTCATCTGAAGATTAAATAAGGGCTGTCTTGATGAGGAATTAGTAAGGAACAAATTGTTGTTCAGTTGTTTAGTTGTGTCTGACTCTTTGTGACCCCATGGACTATAGCACACCAGGTCCTTCTAACCTTCAGTATTTCCTGATGTCTATGCAAACTCATGTTTGTTACTTCCATGACACTATCTATGCATCTCATCCTCTATTGTTCCCTTCTTTTGCCTTCAATCTTTCCTAACATAAGGGTCTTTTCCAGTGAGTCCTGTCTTCTCTTTTTGTGGCCAGAGTATTTAACCTTCATCTTCTGTATTTGTCCTTCCAATGAATAGTCTGAATTAACTTAAGTATTGACTGATTTGATCTCCTTGTTGTCCAAGGGACCCTCAAAAGTCTTCTCCAGCACCACAATTTGAAAGCATCAATTCTGCAGTGCTCAGCTTTCCTTAGGGTCCAACTCTCACAGCCATAAATTACTACTGGAAAAACTATAGCTTTGACTATATATACCTTTGTTGGCAAGACGATGTTTCTGCTTTTTAAATATGCCGTCCAGATTTGCCATAGTTTTCCTTACAAGGAGCATCTTAATTTCAGTCACCATTGATCTTTGAACCCCAAAATATAAAGTTTGACACTACTTCCCTGTCTTCTGCCTCTATTTGCTAGGAAGTGATGGGACTAGTTGCCATGATCTTAGGTTTTTTTTTTTTTAATGTTAAGCTTCAAGCTAGCTTCTACACTCTCTCATCAAGAGGCTTCCTAATTCTTCTCTTTTTTGCCATCAGAGTGGTATTGTCTGCATATGTGAGATTTTTGATAATTTCTCTTGGCAACTTTAATTCTGGCTTTTGATTTGTCCAGCCTGCTGCATGTAACTTAAATATTAAGGAGACAGTATTCAGCCTTGTCATACTGCTTTCATTATCTTAAACCAATCAGTTATCCCATTTGCAGTTCTAACTCTTGCTTCCTGACCTGCATACAGGTTCCTCAGGAGACTAGTAAGATGATCTGGTACTCCCATCTCTTTGAGGACTTGCCACATTTTGTTGTGATCCACACCAGGGCTTTACTGTAGTCAATGAAGCAGAAGTAGACATTTTTCTGGAACTCCCTTGCTTTCTCCAAATTCAGCAAATATTGGCATTTTGGTCTCTAGTTCCTCTGCTTCTCTGAAAACCAGCCTGCACTTCTGATAATTCTCAGTTCATGTATTGCTGAAGCCTAGTGTGTGGAATCTTAAGCATAACCTTGCTGGTGTGTGAGATGAGTACAGTTGTTTAGTAATTTGAACATCCCTTGGCATTACCTTCCTTATCTCTTCTAATCCAGTGGCTGCTGATGAGTTTTCCAAACTCACTGGCATATTGAGTGCAGC